TCAGTGATCAGGTCTTTATCTCCTCCTGATACCCCTCATCCTCAGCGATCAGGTCTTTATCTCCTCCTGATACCGCTCATCCTCAGCGATCAGGTCTTTATCTCCCCCTGATACCCCTCATCCTCAGCGATCAGGTCTTTATCTCCTCCTGATACCCCTCATCCTCAGTGATCAGGTCTTTATCCCCTCCTGATACCCCTCATCCTCAGTGATCAGGTCTTTATCTCCTCCTGATACCCCTCATCCTCAGTGATCAGGTCTTTATCTCCTCCTGATACCCCTCATCCTCAGTGATCTGGTCTTTATCTCCCCCTGATACCCCTCATCCTCAGTGATCAGGTCTTTATCTCCTCCTGATACCCCTCATCCTCAGTGATCAGGTCTTTATCTCCCCCTGATACCCCTCATCCTCAGTGATCAGGTCTTTATCTCCTCCTGATACCCCTCATCCTCAGTGATCAGGTCTGTATCTCCTCCTGATACCCCTCATCCTCAGTGATCAGGTCTGTATCTCCTCCTGATACCCCTCATCCTCAGTGATCAGGTCTGTATCTCCTCCTGATACCCCTCATCAAGGTTCACGGTTCAAGGTTCTTTATTGTCAATCTGACATAGTTACAGAGTAATTATGTAGTTGAAAATCTTATGTCACAGGCTTCTCCAACAATGCAACATAATAACATAATAACAATAAGAGCATGAGCAATACAAAAAGAATAATAGTTATAAAATAAAATAAAGTGATGATGTGGAATAGTGCAATATGAGTCTATATACAAGTTATTGGAATGATATATATATATTAGGTATTAGATACATACTACTGAGTAGCAGATGAATGTTTGAAGTTGTTTCAACAGTTCAATTGTTTAACAGTCTCACTGCCCGCGGGAAGAAACTGTCTCCGAATCTTCTTGTCCTTGCCAGGATGCTGCGGTAACGTCTGCCAGACGGCAACAGAAAGAACAGTTTGTGGCTGGGGTGATGGGGGGTCTTTGATAATCCGTAGTGATTTCTTCCTGAGCCGCTGGGAGTAAAGGTCCTCCATGGATGGCAGCTCCGTCCTGGTGATGTGCTGTGCAGTTTTCACCACCCTCTGTAAAGCCTTACGATCGAGGTCGGTGCAGCTGCCGTACCAGGCCGTCATGCTGCCAGTGAGGATACTCTCTATCGTGCACCTGTAGAAGGTCAGGATCCTCTCTATGGTGCACCTGTAGAAGGTCAGGATCCTCTCTATGGTGCACCTGTAGAAGGTCAGGATACTCTCTATCGTGCACCTGTAGAAGTTGCAGAGTATCCTGGAATCCATTTTGAACCTCCTCAACCTGCGGAGGAAGAAGAGCCGCTGTCGAGCTTTCTTGGTGATGGTGGTGGTGTGAAGAGACCATGTCAGGTCCTCAGTGATGTGGACCCCAAGGAACCTGAAGCTTTTGACTCTCTCCACCGTAGTCCCATTGATGGCGATGGGGGCGTGTCCCTCTCCCTGCTGCTTCCTGTAGTCCACAATCAGCTCCTTTGTTTTGCTGATGTTGAGATGGAGGTTGTTATCCTGGCACCAAGATGTCAGGTTTTCGACCTCCTCTCTGTACGCCGTCTCGTCATCGTTTGTGATCTGGCCGATGACAGTCGTGTCATCAGCAAACTTCACGATGGTGTTGAATGCTGAACTGTAGTCAATGAACAGCATTCTCACATATGTGTTCCTGTTCTTCGGGTCCAGGTGTGAGAGGGCAGTGTGGAGGGTGAGGGCTATGGCGTCGTCTGTGGACCTGTTTGCTCTGTAGGCAAACTGCAGGGGGTCCAGAGATTCAGGGAGGGAGGAGGTGACGAATAATTTGACTAACCGCTCAAAGCACTTCATTATGATGGAGGTGAGTGCTACTGGGCGGTAGTCGTTGGGGCAGGTGATGATTGTCTTTTTCGGGACAGGAACGATATCACTCATATCACGATATCACTCATATCACGATATCACTCATCCTCAGTGATCAGGTCTTTATCCCCTCCTGATACCCCTCATCCTCAGTGATCAGGTCTTTATCCCCTCCTGAAACCCCTCATCTTTATCCCCCTCTCTTGCAGGCGTGTACAGCTTCGGGCTCTTCACCGTGGACATCTTTGTGAACGCGGGTCAGGTGGTGACGGGGAACCTGGCGCCCTACTTCCTGACGGTTTGTAAACCCAACTACACGGCGCTGGGCTGCCAGCAGGCGCTGCGCTACATCAGCCACCAGGAGGCCTGCAGCGGGAACCAGGAGGACATCCTGAGGGCCCGCAAGACCTTCCCCTGCAAGGAGGCGGCCCTCAGCCTCTACGCTGCACTGTACCTGGCCGTGAGTATCATATTCAGAAGGTCCCCTGATGCAGGGAGAGGGTCCCCTGATGCAGGGAGAGGGTCCTCTGATGCAGGGAGAGGGTCCCCTGATGCAGGGAGAGGGTCCCCTGATGCAGGGAGAGGGTCCCCTGATGCAGGGAGAGGGTCCTCTGATGCAGGGAGAGGGTCCCCTGATGCAGGGACAGGGTCCCCTGATGCAGGGAGAGGGTCCCCTGATGCAGGGAGAGGGTCCTCTGATGCAGGGAGAGGGTCCCCTGATGCAGGGACAGGGTCCCCTGATGCAGGGAGAGGGTCCCCTGATGCAGGGAGAGGGTCCTCTGATGCAGGGAGAGGGTCCTCTGATGCAGGGAGAGGGTCCCCTGATGCAGGGAGAGGGTCCTCTGATGCAGGGAGAGGGTCCCCTGATGCAGGGAGAGGGCCCCCTGATGCAGGGAGAGGGCCCCCTGATGCAGGGAGAGGCATTAAATGAGACATGTGTGTGTGTGATTATGAAACACTGTTACAGATATGTAAACACACACACACAACACTCACACACACACACACACACACACACACACACACACACACACACCACACACACACACTCACACACACCACTCACACACACACACACACACACACTCACACACGCACACACACACACACAGCACACACACACACCCACACACACACACACCACACACACAAACACTGTTATTCGAGGACATGCTGTTCTTAACCGTAGAGTATTAACTCTGCATTATTCACTGCAGCTGAGACCAGAAGGAGACGAGAGGACGCTGCAGGCTCAATGCTGTCCTCTTCCCTCTCCTCCTTCTCCTCCTTCTCCTCCTCTTCCTCTCCTCCTCCTCTTCCTCTTCCTCCTCCTCTCCTCTTCGTATAACCCTCTGTCTCTACTGTGTTTTCTGTTCTCATGTTCCTCTCTTCTTCCTCCGGCAGTTTCACTTTGAGTTGCTTCTGTAAACGAGGAGAGTCTGCACACATCTACAGTCACAGCTGTTTGAATAAAGGTCCTGAAGGTCCACATAAATGTTCCCCTGAGGGTTCTCCTCTAACCCGGAGAATACAGTTAGAGTTTCTCTCACAGTATCTCAGCTTCTATTAGAGAGACCCCCAGTGGACAGCTCTCTTCACCCCCCCCCCATGTGCTCTCAGGACCCTGGTAACATCACAGTATATCAGCTTCTATTATGGCGCAGTTCCACTACAGCGCGGAGCTCGCTTTAAGCGTGCCGTGTCGTGCCGTGCCCGTTTTTGGTTGCGCTTCCACTAGGCCTAGTTCCGGCCCGGCCCGGGGCCACTTTTTCACGTCTTTTCTGGCCCGAGAAAATTGTGGTTCTATCGAGGCCAACAAACAGGGCTGAGTCGGGCTGAGTATGCTAAACTAGAGAGAGGAGCGCTGGCAACGGGGCTACAACTACAACAAGATGGACATATTTGACCGTGATTTAATTGTAATACACGTTTCAAAATGATGAAGTAACAACATACTGATACCGGTTAGTAAAAACCATGAATTAATGCTTTGTCAAGTCTGCAGACAGACCGCAGGCGAAAAACCTTTTAAAATGCGTGTTTTCTAGATGGAGATTGGCTAAGCTAACGCAGTATATGCTCCGACCGTCCACACTCACAACAACGGCCTATACAGACATAAATAAAGCAGCGACTGTACTCACCATGACACAGACAGTCTGTGGTTTGTACTTGTTTAACTTTTGTCTAGTTTCTGAACAGATATGAGGAGCTGTGAGCTCTGAGTGCTAACAGCTAACGGCTGTGTTGTTTGTCTGGGGTTCTCATTGAAGATGACGTCACGGCTCCGCCTACACTGCGTTACTATAGTAACTACCCCAGTTCCTAAACTGTAATGGAAGCGCAGCATGAAGTGAGTCGGCCCTGTTAAGGCCAAGCCGTACCGAGCTGTACCGAGCGTGGCCGAGGCCGACCGTGTAGTGGAACTGCGCCATTAGAGAGATCTCAGCACCTGGTCTCCCTGCAGATGTACGTGACGCTCACGGTCCAGGCGAAGGGAACCCGTCTGGCCAAGCCGGTCCTGTCTCTGGGTCTGGTGTGTCTGGCCTTCCTCACCGGGCTGAACCGGGTCGCAGAGTACCGGAACCACTGGGGGGACGTCATCGCCGGGTTCATCATCGGAGGAGCCATCGCTAACCTTCCTGGTGAGACCACACACACACACACACACACACACACACACACACACACACACACACACACACACACACACACACACACACACACACACACACACACAGCAGGGACAGAGATGTGTGAGACTGTCAGAGAGTAACTGTGTGTGTGTGTGTGTGTGTGTGTGTGTGTGTGTGTGTGTGTGTGTGTGTGTGTGTGTGTGTGTGTGTGTGTGTGTGTGTGTGTGTGTTGTGTGTGTGTGTGTGTTGTGTTGTGTGTGTGTGTGTTGTGTGCGTGTGTGTGTGTTGCAGGTGGTGTGTGTGGTCCATAACTTCAAAGGGAAGCTGTTGCTGGGTGAAGAGTCTCCGGAGCATCAGCCCGGCTCGGCTCTGCTGACCCTGGGCCGGATGGAGAGTCCTCTGGAGAAGTACATCGCCTCGCAGGTCAGAGCGGTTCTGATCTGAAATCAGTTTGACATCTGCATGATTCCATCTCATAATGTACCGTTGTTAGTACCCAGACACCCCAGAAACTGAACCATCACAGTCAGAGCTCTCTGTCTCTGCAGATATGTCAGACAGAATATAGCTCCTCCCACAGCAGAACCTGCAGCAGAGCACTGATACAGGTTCTGCAGGGTCTTCACATGATGAAGCATGGCGACGCACCTTAACACCTTCATCAGCTGACAGGGAGGAACAGTGAGACTAAACACTGAGAGCAGCCCAAGGTCGCAGGCCTGTGCTCAGCGAGGGCAGAACAAACTGATAAACTGGCTCAAAGGTGTGGGCCAAGCACATGAACAGAACAGTTTCTGTAGCTCAGGAGACATGTTGGAGGAGTTGGACATATGGTGGTGTAAATGTTAGCTGTCCAATGATCAGGTGACATGTTGGAGGAGTTGGACATATGGTGGTGTAAATGTTAGCTGTCCAAGGATCAGGTGAAACTCCATGGACTTTGAATACAAGTCTAAACGGTCTCTGTGAGGTCGGACTAGCTTCCTGGAGATGTCCGCTGTGAGTATTGGGGTCCAGGTATCTAACCGTTAATGCTCCCCCTGCACACACTGCTGCAGGAGACGGATGATGATGATGAAGATGAAGAGTCGTGCTACATTAAGGAGCGTCTGCTGGTCTTCCTGAACTGGCTGCAGGGTCTGCACTGGTTCCAGAGGATCAGCAACAGAAGGTGGTCTGAGCTCTGACAAATCTCTGGACGTTTACCCTCCAGATTTCAGCTTTATCCATATTTGGACTTTAAGTATAGAAGAGGAGAACATCACAGTGACATCATTCTGTTTGTTTGACTGGAACCGGTGAGGAGGGTCTAACGTACGTTGGGGTACCAACAGTGCAGAGCAGAGGGAGACATTAGAGACTCCAGATGATCTGGGTTAGGGTCTTAGAGCAGCCTGGGTTAGGGTCTTAGAGCAGCCTGGGTTAGGGTCTTAGAGCAGCCTGGGTTAGGGTCTTAGAGCAACATGCAGAAGATAAGGGGTTAGGGTCTTAGAGCAACATGCAGAAGATAAGGGGTTAGGGTCTTAGAACAACATGCAGAAGATAAGGGGTTAGGGTCTTAGAGCAACATGCAGAAGATAAGGGGTTAGGGTCTTAGAGCAACACGCAGAAGATAAGGGGTTAGGGTCTTAGAGCAACACGCAGAAGATAAGGGGTTAAGCTGGTGCCCCACGAGGACGCATACACAATCACAAAAAGCTTCCGTCCACACTCAATAGACCCCGGATAGTGTCTGTTCACAGAGACAGCTCCGTTTAGCTCTAACCGCTGGAAAAGCTGCAGTACATATGCCGAGCCAGTACGTGGCGCTGTAACTTCCTCCACAAAAGCAGCGAAGAAGAATGGTTGTCAAGGCTGCACTTCTGTTTATTCTCCTTGGTGGGGGCCGAGGGAACCGGGCAGAGTTTTTCGCCGGTCAACGTGTGTTAACGTTTAAATCTTCCGGACAAAATGATAAAAGTGCCGGTCAAAGGTCTTCTTTGTTATTTATTGAGCTTTAAAACAAATGAATAACGACTCTATATAATGATATATAATAATAAAATACACGGAGCCTGTCTCTTTTTCCTCTCTTCTCACAGCGTCAGTGTCTGTCTCATGCAGCAGCTGATCCTGTAATGAGTGACCCGACAGTACAAATGAACATATTTATAACTAGTTTAGTTTGAGAGGTCATTAAAATAGCTAAGGGTGATGATCTGACTTGAAGTGTGTTACTCTCGCTGCATCACAGCGGCAGGAGCTGCGTGTCTCCGTCCTGTCAGATTAGACTTCACTCGCGTTTATGTCCATATCGAGAGAAAGATCAATAATCTGAATTCAGTGTGCAGTGTACTTTGACGCGGGGGTGAGCAGCAGAGGGGGGGGGAGGCGGGGCTATTGCGTCATCATTATCACAAAATGACCGTATAGAGGCGATCACACGGAGCCGTTGGACCCCCCAGAGTGCTCCGTTCCCAGATCTATCCACCTTGGGACCCGTTATCGTTTGCAGGGTCCGTTTCTATCGTTTAGTTACGGCCTCGTGGCAAACAGGGCTATACGCAAGAGAAATATGCGGATACAACCCGTTGTCGTCCTCGTGGGGCACCAGCCTCAGAGCAACATGCAGAAGATAAGGGGCTAGGGTCTTAGAGCAGCATGCAGAAGATAAGGGGCTAGGGTCTTAGAGCAACATGCAGAAGATAAGGGGCTAGGGGCTTAGAGCAGCATGCAGAAGATAAGGGGCTAGGGTCTTAGAGCAACATGCAGAAGATAAGGGGCTAGGGGCTTAGAGCAGCATGCAGAAGATAAGGGGCTAGGGGCTTAGAGCAACATGCAGAAGATAAGGGGCTAGGGGCTTAGAGCAACATGCAGAAGATAAGGGGCTAGGGGCTTAGAGCAACATGCAGAAGATAAGGGGCTAGGGTCTTAGAGCAACATGCAGAAGATAAGGGGCTAGGGGCTTAGAGCAACATGCAGAAGATAAGGGGCTAGGGTCTTAGAGCAACA